AGCATGAGATATTATTGCTTGCTTTGGTTCCGTCTGATTTTTTTATGAAACGAAATGTGGTTCTGGAGGCAGGGGATATATCTGGTGATATTGTTTTGGAGACGAGAAAGCCTGCAAATTGAATTCCACTGGGTATATAAAATGCAAATTCTTTTTGCTCTGGTTGCTTGGCGTGGGATCCCTTTTTCCTATCCAGATTCCCCCCAGAAGAAGCTTGTGAAGTCGAACAATATATTGGGGCTTTGTATTTTTTTTTTGGATAGTATTTTAGGTTTGTGATTAATTAAATTAATTAATATTATTTGTTAAGAGTTGATCTGATTTGGAATGTGTTGTCCTGTATTGTTGTATTAAGGACTTTGATAAATTTATGATCAACTTTTGAGAGTGAGGACAAATAGAATCACAACTCAAATCCATGTATATATTTAAAGAAGTGATTTGTATTTTAGTTAGAGGTTTATATTGCTAGTGTTTTATATTTTCAGTTGACAAATCCGATAATTGCGTTCATCATGAATATTTGTATTAATTACACACATGAACGAATTTTTTTCAAAATTATTCGTAATACACAGTTGTTTCAAAAGTTGAGTACAATATGATTTATGGTGCATGATGGCTCAAATATGATTTTTCTTATTATTTTGTCTTCCAATCGTCTTTGTACAATAGTTAAGAAAAGGAAAAAAATATATATAATTATTTAGTTAGTTTTGACGTTTTAAAAGTTAGTATTTTCAAGCAAAAACAGATAATGAAGTTTCGAATAGGAGGGGTGTATTTTTTCTAGCCATTTAAAATTAGAATTTTCTTGTGTTTGTTAATTTTTGTCGCGGTTGGTTTGGTAGGAAGGAATTGAGATTTAAAATGTGGTCAACTTTTTCACCTATTGCAATAGACAATATGATTTTTGTTATTTCATATGATTTTGGGTTGATTAACTTGTGATGACTGAAGAGCTGTAATTGTGCTATAGCATAATGGGTAAGGATACGGTGAAAGCTTCCTGGGATCTAAGAACCACTAAAGTGTTTCTTGACCTGTGCATTGAACTTGTGCAACAAGGGGAAAGAAAAGGTACTAGCTTAACAAAGAAAGCTTGGGATATTTTTGGTGATAAGTTTACTGCCAAAATTGGGAGAGTGTATGAAAAATCTCAATTAAGAATAAATATGATTCCCTACAAAAGGAGTGGCAGACATGGGATAGGCTGCTTCGCGAGACAGGATTGGGATGGGATACTGAAAGGAATACTGTCAGTGCAACTGATGATTGGTGGGAGAGGAAAATAAGGGTAATTATTGAACCTTTTGATCTTACATTTTCTCTGCATGTTAATGTTTTGTGCATATTTACTATTTTTTGAATATTTTATGATATTATTGGTGTCTAATGTGCAGGAAGTTCCAAACTACGAAAAATTTAGAGAAAGAGGACTTCAATTTAGGGATCAATTAACTCAACTGTTCGGGAGTGTGGCTGCAACTGGACCACAAGCATGAGCACCTTCTTCCATGACACTTCCAAGTGAAGAAACACCGAATGAAGATTTGGAAGAAAGGTCCGGAGATAGTGATGAAATTTTAGGTGCACCAACTGGTATAAGTGGGGAATTTAACTCAGTGAACTTCAATGATAATAGTGGAGGTAGTGGAGGCAACACTGAATTGAGGCAGGATAACAGTGGTAGGGGTACAAGCAGAGGTAGGAGTCGACCTAGTAGCTCACTGGGGGTTAGAAGAAAGAGTGAAGTCAAGAAGAAACGCACATCTCCCTCTATGAAAATAGCGGATGCACTTAGCAAGATTGCTGAAACAAATATTTCTGAGGCCGAGCGTGGAAATGAGGTCATTTCACGAGTAGAAGCTAGAAGGTTGGAAGAAGAAGCGCGTGCTTATGAGATTTCAATTAGGGGAGTCCTGTCTCACCTGAAAACAGTTCTTGAAGTTGTCAGTGATCCTGATTTCTTTAGACGGTGCACACAACTCCTTATGGAACGGCCGGAGGCACGGGAAATGTATGCAGCTCTGAAGGATCAGAAGGAACAACTTCTGCCTATTTTGGAGTATTACACTAGGGATTTATGACTTGTTTATTATATTAGACAGTTCCATATGTGTATCGTTTTATGTGACTAGTGGGTTGTTATATGAATCAGACAACTCTCTAACTTTTATAAATGTTTCATAATTTCTACGTAAGAATTCTAAACTTTATGTATATGTGCACAGGATAAAGCGAATATGGATGCTAAAATTAAATGTGTGGAAGAGCATGCTAAGGGACGAAAAAAAAGGGTTAACAAAGTTGCAGCATTGGTCGGTGCATACGCTACTTTGAACTTGTGTAAAGAGCCTCGGCATACAAGTGCTTATACAGGCTGCTTATGGGTAAGGGATGTTTTAGATGGCAACTCCAGTCGTTGTTATAACATGTTTAGGATGGAACGGGGTGTGTTCTTAAGTCTGGTGGAACAATTGCAACAACATGGTCTAAAAGAAACTAAAAATATAGGGATACATGAATCAATTGCAATGTTTTTACATACCGTTGGCCATGCACTTAGTAGCAGAATGCAACAAGAAAGATTTCAACATTCAGGGGAGACAATTAGCAGACATTTTCATGATGTCCTAATGGCATGTTGTAGACTTGCCATGTCTAATATCAAACCAAAAGATCCAACATTCCGACATGTTCATACAAAAATTCGGTTTGGTAAATATTGGCCTTTTTTTAAACATGCTATTGGAGCAATTGATGGCACACATGTTTCCTGCATTGTCAGTGCAACAGATCAAACTAAATTTATCTCTAGAAAAGGAACAGTGTCACAAAATGTCATGGCGGTTTATGATTGGGACATGTGTTTTACTTTTGTCTTGGCTGGATGGGAAGGTAGCGCACATGATGCTCGGATATTTGATCATGCCCTCACAACTCCTTCAATGAACTTTCCCCATCCACCTGAAGGTATTTTTTTATTTCCTACATTTTATTTATATTTAGCTTAACAATAGAAACATAATTTACAATAATTTCATTTTTTATATAGGAAAATATTATTTGGTGGATGCTGGATATCCAACACCAAATGGATATCTCGGCCCATACAAACGGGAGCGTTACCATCTGCTTGATTTTCGAAGGACATCTGGGTTTGAAAATGACAATGAGGTCTTTAATTATTTCCATTCAAGTTTAAGGAGTACAATTGAAAGAACTTTCGGAGTTTGGAAAAAAAAGTTCGCAATCTTACGAAACATGTCATCCTATGATTATGAAACACAAGTTAAAATCGTTTGTGCAACGATGGCTATACATAATTTTATTAGAACGACATCTATTACTGATCCTGGATTCGTTCAGTTGGAAGAAGAAGGTACTTATGCAGAAGAACATGATGATGGGGTTGGATTTTCACGTATACATTCATCAATTCAATCTTCATCTTACATGGCTCAGGTTCGTGACAGCATAAGAGACGAACTTGTTAATTCAATACAAGGATAGTAGTCATGTCTTATTTATTTCCTTTTATCATAGATTGTAATATGTAGTTAAAAACAAAACCTATTACAAATGCTTTGTATCGATGCATCATCTTAATTATTATGAAACTTGTTTATTTATATTTCTTTTATTAATATTATACCTTATATTCTCAAGCTAATTATTACTTACTTTAATAATTAATAAATTGTTTTAAGACGTGTTTATTCTATTTTATCAAACAATATCATCCCATTTTATGTTTATAATCTTCATGAAAAATACATGATTTTCTGTTTGCAACAAAATAATTCATCTTCTCTAAAAATATTTTTACTCTTATATTTTATGAATATATATATGTGGTGACAATTAATTAATTAATTGTATTAAACATCAGAGGTTATTATACATGTAGTATGTTATTACAAAAAGTAGTTGTGAAAAAATGTTATGGGATTTCATGTTTAAAATCTTTAAAGAAAATTAATATTTTTCTGTTAGCAAAAAAAAATTCATTTTTCTATAAACATATTTAATATTATGTTTTATAAATATATATACACATATTAATTATGTATTAATTATATTATCTTATATATTATTAATTATGTTAGTAAAAAAATTTTCATTAACAATATTATTTCTTCAAATCAAAATATATCATAAAATCTATCCCTTATATAATTATCATATTAACTTATACCCTTTTTGGTAATTTTCACATGTAAAAAGTGTTTCTGGTAATAACTATCCAAACACTCTCACTTCTCAGAATCACTTTTTCTCAGAATTTATTCTCCACAGAATCACTTTTCCAAACCACGGTTTGGTTTCATCCAAACACACCCTTGTACATGGATCCTGAAGAAGCTATGTCTGCGACTAATGACCAGAGATCGTGCAGTATGCAGGTAAAACTTGCAGACTCTGATGGAAAGAAAGATCAGTGAAGTCAGTTCATTGCTCCAATCTGGCAATTTCTCGTGTATGCAATGAAAAGAGGATTCTGGGAATGATCCAGTTGTGTAGATATATGCCGCTGTGCAGTATCCTGAGAACGTACAGTCCACATGATGACTACTACAGACAGCTGAGAAGAACGTAAAGTCCCTTTTGCTACTGTTTCTGGTAGTGATGAGTGATTGAATGATTTGATAACACACCCTGGTGAATTGTCTTCCCAGTTCAGTTCACACAGCATTTCCAACGGGGTTGGAGTAGGTGGTGTCTCCTTTTTTTCTTTGTTTTGTTTTAGCAAAACTAGTTTTAATATTTGCACTTGAAAGTTGAGGTGAGTTCACTAACTTGCATGCGTCAAACTGGGTTAAAAGAGAATTGACTAGACGTTTCAGGAAATCATTGATTGACTGTCGTTACTTGCTCTTGTGAAAACCATAAAAGGCTGTTGTTTGCTCATGTTTATATGTTTTTATCGAAAAGAATTTTACTTTTCTTTAATGAAACAAAGAAAAGATTTTGATAATTCCTGCCTTCTCATTTTCTTCCTTGAAGGATCCTTTGTCATTTTTCCACCAAACACAGCACCAACATCATACCAAAATTATGGGGAGGGGTGGATACTGTAAAAATGCAACAACATTGTTTTATTGATGGACCTATGCTTTGCTTGCAGCTAATAACTAACTGTAGCCCTTCTCCATAAGGCTTGAAAACTAGATCAAACTGACAATGAGAGCCTCTTCTGTTTACAAGACATCCAAACTCATTAAAAAAATAAAGGAATGAACAAACTCAAGTCCACAAAAAACAAAAGAGACAGGATTTTCTTGACCAGCCTATCTGCCGTTTTTAGCTGGTGTCATGACATGTGGCTTCAGTTAGAATTTAGGCCTTGTCAATTGTTTTGAAACGCTGATTGTATGGATAATCTTAAAAGGACAATCACATTGTAAATGAGACTTATTTGATTAACAGACTCTACTTGAATAGTAGACTCCATAACATGCATAAGTCTCACACACAATTTGCCGGTTTCCTTTTAAAATTAACATGATAAATTCATATACAAAATGGAAAAAAGCAGACCCGTTTTTTGTTAATGTATCAAAGGGTCTGAATTCCTACGAGTCCGGGCTTAACTCATTGCAGGAATAGGCGTCCTTGGACTGGGCAATCCCATGTATGAAAGTCTAGGAGAGACCTTCAATTTTGGGCTGGGCCTTGGCGAAGGAATTGGGCCATAGCTTGGAGGCCGCACTGAAGTGGGCCTGGGTGACAAATTCACTTGCTCCAATGCTCTTGATTGCAGATGTCCAGGATAGTCACGCACACACCCAATCCTGGGCCCAGCACCAGTAGACCATTTGCAGGACAACCTCTTAGAAAAGTCAAACACTGAGGCTTGATCCTTCTTCTCATCACCAACCCCTGCACCCTCTTCATTAACTTCCGTTGTATTTGTCTCTTGGCCATTCTTATCACTATCATTAATTGCATTTGACTGAGAAGTTATAATAGGACCCAAGTTCTGCTGTGATTCATCGGTATCACCTACGTATGGAGGCGTGTCATCATCAATAGCACACCTCTGCAACAAAACAAGCAAGATAACAATCATTTAATTTGTCTTGTGGATTTATGATTCAAATCCAAAAAGATTAATCCAGTCTGGTTTAAGGAAGAAATAAATGATAACGAACCTTGACATTGGCGAGGTCTACCTTGTGGTCCTCAAGGAAGGAAACGAACTCTTGGAAGTTCTCTTCTGTGGGGTGGTAGTGACCACTGTAAGGCCAGATAGCCTCAAGAACACCTTGATGGGCTATTAATCTGCCTGCGGCTGTGGTTGCAGCCCCAGATAGAAAGCTTGAGTGCTGAAATGAACCTTTCTGCTTTCGTCCTACATACAAGCTTCTTGTTGTGCTCAGAACAAATATCCATTTGGACTTGTCGTCTGTATCCACCAGCTTCCCATTCAGCTTGTACATTAGCTTCCCGTTTTCAACAAGCACTTCGTATTCTTCCCTTTCCTTCTGCAATTGTATTAAACACAATTATGTCAGATACATGAGATTCATGTTGACCTCTAATTTTATTAAGATGATTTTCAGATAATTTATTTCAGTAATTGCATAGTATATCACGAGCATAATAACTTACTGGTCCAAGGTATTTAATGCATTGACGTTGAAGGGTGGTCCTTGGGCATTTCTCAAGATTAATTTCTTTGCCATCCCCAACGTCCAGCCTACATTGACAGAAAGGAGAGTTAGTTATCTGACAGATGCTTATGCTGGCCATGGTTAAGAAGATCATAGTGACAGAACAAGAGATTACCAGTAGAAAAATGGCTGAGTGCTATGACTTTCAAACCAGATATCATAATATAAATGCAGATTGTGTCCATAACGATGACGTGGGTCAATCTGTGTAAAGAAATTAAGAGTGTTAATACCAGAATATTATATTTGTATTGAACAAGACTTAAGATGGGTATGAGGAGAATTCCAGGACTACTCACAGCTTCAAGCCAATGTCTGAGAGCTAGTTTTTGCGCCTTGTCATCCTTGGACAAACCTTTTCCAACCTGTGTGAGAAATTAAAAGCTACTATTAGTATTTGGCACTACACTACGAAAATGAGAAAATGACAAAACTCACTTGAGAGAAATATGAATTCATTATTCGTTATTATTATAACAAATTGTCTACCTTAGCTGCTCTTGTCCTTGCCCTCGCCCACCGTGATTGGGCAGTCTCCGGCTTCTGGACATCGAAGAATGAAACTGAACTCCGTTTCAACGCAGCAAAGTCTAGGGCCTTCCACCTGCACACACCATACAATTCATGACATTAAGATAGGAAATTAGTATCCAGGGTTTTTTGGCCCTAAAATATGCATATTTTTAAATATTCTTACAAAATCCAAAAATTTGACATGCAGTACACTGCACAAAATTCAACTGAAAAGAGATTGACTGAGGGTGTGTTTGGATGAAACCAAATCGTGGTTTGAAAAAGTGATTCTGGAGAATAGATTTTGGGAAGAATAGATTCTAGAAAGAATAGATTTTATAAAAAAGTGATTTTGAGAAGTGAGAGTGTTTGGATAGTTGTTATCAGAAGCACTTTTTATATATACAAATTACTAAAAAAAAGACATAAGTTAATATGATAATTACATAAAAAATAGATTTTATGATATATTTTAATTTGAAGGAATAAAATTATTAATAATATATTTTTTATTAACATAATTAATAATACATAAGATAATATAATTAATAAATAATTAATATGTATATATATTTATAAAATATAAGATTAAATATGTTTATAAAAAAATGTTTATAAAAAAAATAACAAGATATATATTCTATAGGTTCTCATACTCTCCCTTTTTTCTCCAAAAGCAAAAATTTTTTGCTTTTTCCAAAACCATGGTTTTGGTTTTTGGGTGGATGTTTGAGGGATTTATTCCTCAAACTATGGTTTGGGTCCCAAAACCATGATTTGGGGTGTCACCCAAACAAAGCCTGAGAGAGGGAGTGGACCCCAATCCTTCTGTCTATCCTTTTTCTTATTGCATTAGTTACCAATAAATGGTTATAAACCATTTTACACGGATTCAAAAAAAAAAAAAATGGAAACCGAGTTAATGACTGAGAAGCAGAGACTAACCAGAGCTCCTCCACCACCACAGCACAATCTGCGAGGTTTCTTCTTGTGCGATAACTCTTGTAGACCTTCTGGAGCTTAGTTGCAGCAGCATCAAGCTCATTAATGGGTCTGGGTGAAGAAAACACCACTGATTCTGGGAGAGTAAGAAGAGGTACTGGTTTTTGAGGCAACTTAATATCACCCATATACTCCTTTTCCGATGGGACATTAACATTAGTTTGCAGAGTCACCATCTCAGGTCCACGATCCCTCAACCTCCTTGAACTACTGATGTTATTGGACCCATTGGACAATGAACTAGTTTCTGATTCTTCTCTTTTCTTGTTCAAGCTGGCTGCTCTCAGGAGTTTAGCCCCATCTTTAGATCCAAACCTGAAGTTGAAAGACAAACCAAATAACCAATTCCTCAAGATTTTTTCACACGCTGATAACGGTATGGAAAGTGACAATCCCATAAGGCTACGCCTCCAGCTCCAAGCTTCAAATTGTTTATCAGTCCTGCACAGTTAAATAAATATAAAGATTCAGGATGCAGAGGTCTCAGTTCAACCAGATGTTATTGTTTGACGTCTCTTGTTGAACAGAGGATGATTGATAATCGCTTCGTAAGGTTACAACACATTTCAATTTCAAGCTTCGAGCTAAAAGAATAGATATGGATTATCAACAAACAGCTTCAGAGCATGGAAAATTTACCTTGCTTTTATGGCTTCTGGGGCTGGGTAACCCTCCTTTGAAGTGTTTCGCTCAAGAGAAATGAAGTCGGTGTGGAAGAAAATAAGACAGGTGTATCATAGTGGGTGCGTTGCTTATATATATATTAAGCTAGACAGCCATACAGGATGTCTGATGAAGACAGATATTCCTAATTCCAGAGTGTCTGTCTCTACAGAGACGTGTCAAAGACTGGAAAAAAGAAAGAGAATGAAAGGAGAAATCTTTGAATTCCACTAGGAACCTGAGTGACACACGTGGAAGTGGGTGAGAGATTAGAATCAAATCAAAAGTTATACTGAATGGTTTTTCCAAGGTCTAAAGCCACGAGTTGTTTGAAGGATTCTAAGTTTAAAAATGGGAGGGAAAGAGGGCGCTATGGAGTTTTGCGCATAATGGTGGGGGGTTTTAAATATAAGGGGATTTATGAGTTTACATGCAGCGAAGGAGACCAGATAGAGAGGGTCAAAAAAGGTAAGCTCTTGCGAGGGAGCGCGAGAAAACGCGAAGTGGTTGGTTTTGAAGAAGACGACGGTAGAATAAAACTGGGAATTTGGTTAAGTTATTTTCAATTCATAACAGTCAACGACTTCGATGGCGTGAGGATAAAGGGCTGATCATCTTCCCGCGTTTCGTGGGGTACGTGGTGAGATTGAGCAGCTGCATACTGTGAATTTTATCGATCATCTTTATTTTATTTTCTGGGCAGAATTTTATACAGTTCTTAATGTAAAACTTTATTTAATTTTTATTTTAATTTTAAATATAAAACTCTAATCCATTTTATCTCTTATATTTATTCACTTTTCTCAAAATAGTCTTTCTAATAATTATAGTTCTAGTCAATATAATTGATTAGCAAGGATATTTTAGGAAAGGTAATACATATTTATTACAAATAACTAACTTAACTTGTTTTCGTAATCTACTCAAATTAGTTAACTAGTTTTTATATTTAAGACCGGTAGTACTATGCCTTATTTTCCCTGTATATCAAAATTGGAATGAGTGTGTGTGAAAATAAAATAAATAAAATGAAATAAAATTGCATGATTTTCATATTTTAATTATTCGCTGAACTTGAAGTGCCTAAATTTCATTTTAAATAGCTAACAAAACTAAGATTCTCACCAAAAAAATTATTACTTACTCTGTCAGTCCTTAATAATGTAAGAATTATTTAATTAATTTAAAAGGATTATTAAAATTAAACAAATTTTTTAATTATAATAAACACAACATGACATTATATTTCTACATAGCACTATATTACACATTTTTTTATAGAAAATAATAAAGATTAAAGATGCTGAAGTAGATTACGAAGAAGAGGGAGTATTATGCCAAACTTAGCAGTAACTTTTTTATGATTACTTCATTTTCTTTTCATGCCTCGTAATAGCTTGGGGGGAAAAAAAAAAGAGATGAATAAAATGAAAAAAAAAAAGTGAGGAGGCCAAAATAATGGGGATATTAAGTACAAAAAAGTGAAAAGTACATGAGAAAAGACAAAGCTAAGTTTTGGTAGAAGCAAACCAAAAAAGCGGTCATGGAATCGCTGCAATCCAGTGTGATTCCTAACACATGCCAAAACATAATTTACGAACTACTAACGTCTTAAAAATCTATTAATTATATATATATAAACCCCTAAAGTTTTATGAAATATACGTACAATAGGTGTTTGAATGGAAATGAAATCATAATTTTAAAATTAATTTTACGATATACAAAGTAAATATAGACTAGTTTGTCCTGATTTACGGAAAAATGCTCTTGAAAAGCATTTTTACAGCTTTCCAAACACCCCTAAATAATTGTTTCGAATGTAAGCAATTTTTAATTATATATTCTTTTTCTTTAGAGATCGCAGTCGAATGTAGAAGTGTCTTGTTTCTTGTATTTTAAAGTCTGTGAGTGTATTATTAATATGAATGCTAATTTTTAGTGTCCATTAATTGGTCCTAAAAATTGAGATATCCTAGGTCTTTGATTGTTTGGAGCAAGCTACAATACCAGGAAGTAAATGCGAGAAGAAAATATTAGAAAGGAAAACTTTTAAAAATAGTTATAAAAAAAATTGAGTTTTTAGTCCTAGTATTTTTTTTTCCTATCTAATCTTCCCTCTATCTAAATATCGGGTAAAAGCAAACTATTTTTCTGACGTACATGTGTTATCACAGATTACATGCAATTTTTACCTGTAAAAGTACAATCAGTGCTGCAATCTTTTTTGTTAGGTGTACTTAATATCATAATCTTTTTAATGGTGCAGTTTTACTTATTGATGTACTCCTCCGATCCTTATTATAAGATCTCATTTGACTTTTTATTTAGTCCTAATTATAAGACCCCAATCCATTTTGTCTCTTATATTTATGCATTTTTTTCTAAGATAATCATTCTAATAATGATAGTTTTAGCCAATATACTTAATTAGCAAGGATATTTTAGGAATGACAACACTTATTTATTATAAATAGCCAACTTAACTTACTTCCTTAATCTCCTCAAATAAGTTAATTGGGTCTTATAATTAGGATCGGAGGAGTATTAAATTTGGTACAATATAATTTGATCCATTTTTTTTAGTTTTCCAACGTGAGCGGAATTTGTTTACATTGCATGAAAGTTGATAATAACTAGATAAAAAAACTAAAATTGTTACCTTTAAATGAAAAAAAAAAGGAGTGATTTTAAATAAACAAAAAGTGTAAAATTACTCAAAATTTCAAAAATCATGAGTAAAATTGTGCCATAAAAAAATTTAAGTGTTAATGCATCTGAAAAATAAGATGGAATGTGCTACTTAACTCACAAATACTCCTCTAGGTTTTAATATAAGACCTATTTAACTAATTTGATTGGATTAAGGAAATTAGGTAAGTTAGTTAACTATAAGAAATGTGACACATTTTTCCTAAAAAACCATAATCATCTTTCTTAATACCCCTTCCTCTTCTACTTGATTATGATTGAGGGAGTATCCATATGAGTAATTTAAAGAAAATTGATAAATATGAGAAATGGATCTTATATTTAGGATCAAAACCAACTCAATAATTAGGTCATATATTAAGTACAAGAAGAATATAATAATGTGATGAGTAAGTGACATTATTCGATCGGCTTTTAAGACATGAAAATGAAATGAAAGATCATGAGTCACTTTTACTTTTAAAATAATAAGCGATGTTCGTACGAATGATATGGAATTAAATTAAAAGACGCGTAAAGACCGAAAATAGAGTGTGAATCGTTGTGATTGGAAAATAAATTACGTTACGTTGATTCAAAGCACGAGACGGAAGATCACAAATTATCTGGTTTCTGGTCGGGGCTATGCTGATGCAAAGAATGGAAACACATTTTAACAAATGGGCCCACCTTGACCCTTGTTCTTCAAGAAATGTTTTTTTTGGGGGGGGGGGGTTAATTTTCCTTACAATAATTTTTATATTTGCGCAAGTTGCCCCTAAGATTGTAATCCGTGAAAATATATCAATTTCTTTTTTTTCCAACCAATAAAATATTTTGGTTAAAAAAACCCAAAAAAAATATCGGAATTACATCAAAGGGAGTGAAAAATGAAAACAAAAACACCATATATGATTATAAAGCGAGCACTTTAAAATCTCTCAAAAATTATTTTGGAAGTTAGCTTTTTGGGTAAAAGCCAAAAGGAGATTGAGACAAGCGAGTCATTCCTGTGTTAAAATTGAATTGCATTGACCAGTCTCTTGCGGAAAAGCCGCGTCCTTGTGGAATGAGGCATGTTGGAAAATAAACAAACAACATATTCCGTACGATTCATGAGAAACCCTACCATTTTCCTTATCCTCTCGTGGGAAACAATTTGGTTTGGACACTGTCTAGCACTTAATGTTGAGCATTTCTCCCAATAACAATTTTGACCTTAATTTGAGATTAATTCATCATATTAGCTCTAATACCAGTTGATAATTTATCATGAATATTAAAAAAGCATGTGTTTAATATCAATTTTAGCATATAGAATTTGACCTCATTCTAATTCATGGAAAGATTTTTGGTCCCTATTATAGTATTTTCACCCCATCGAATAAGGTTTTAAAAACTAAAATCATTTATTTTAAATTTTAAAAATTAAAATTAAAATGAGATTAAATTTCAGATACTACAGAAAATATTTACCTAAAAATATATCACATACGTAGTGCAAGTTGGCATGGTCCACAGGCCATTACATATAATATCTCTAAATTTACAATATACTACCTCCAGTTTTTAATATAAGATCCCGTTTGACTTTTATTTTGATATTAAATATAAGACCCTAATCTACTTTGTCTCTCATATTTACTCAATTTTTTTCAAGATAGTCCTTTTGATAATTATAGTTCTAGTCAATACATTTGATTAGCAATGATATTTTAAAAAAGACAACACCTATTTAGGACAAATAACAAACTTAACTTAGTTCCTTAATCTCCTCAAATTAGTCAACTGGCTCTTATAATTAGAACTATAGAAGAGGGCTACTTCGGGAAAAAAATATATAAATATGAGAGACAAAGTGGATTGGGGTCTTATATTTAAGACTAAAATAAAAGTCAAATAAGGTCTTATATTAAGAACCGGAGGTAGTACTACCTCTGAACCTTAATATCAGAGCATGTTTGACTTATTTTGATCATAAATATAAGACTTTAATACAATTTATCTTTCATATTTATCCATTTTTTCTTGAGGTACTTCTTGTAATAATGGTAATTCTAACCGATACACTTAATTAGTAAAGATATTTTAGAAAAAATAACACTTATTTATTATAAATAACTAATTTAACTAATTTATTTAATCTACTCAAATCAATCAATTAGTTCTTATATTAAGGACATGAGGTAATAGTATATTTTATAATAATTTACAGATATTTTGAGGTCAACGTTCAATATTTTGATCCCAGTAAAAGATAATCATATTCCAGAAACTCATTTCACGTAACACATCATTTGTGCGACAACTTATATGGCAGACCTGGAATATTATATTTAATATATGCGACAATGCCAACCACCCTGCAAGATTCTGACTTTTCATTCTCTGTTGCTGTTCTCCTCTTCTCCTAATATTATTATCAAAATATATAATGTAAGGATTCTTTGAACGTCAAAAGCAGCCATTGTTTTTGTTTTTCTTGATACTCTTCTGATCCTAATTATAAGAACCAACTTACTAATTTAAGGAAATTAAGAAAGTAAATTGAGATAGTTATTTATCCTAAATAGGTGCTGTTTTTCCTAAAATATCTTTAC